ACTTATTCATTTAGATATAAATGAATAGCAAATGATTAAAAATATACCTAATCCTCAATTTTTTTTTATTCAAGTGGCTAAATTCTAAAGCGGTGTCTGAGTGTTGGAAAATCAATTAAACTATTAAATAAAGCTTACTATTTAGTTAATATTTATTTATTTATTTATTTCAAATGGCAGGCGTTTTGATGGCTATCATTAGCCCTTTAATTGACTTCGGGCTTCACAGAGGGAAGGTTCATCAAAGTAGCAGAAAGTCGAGGAGTGAGGAAAAGAAGGGCGATTTACAGAGGTAAAAGAGGGAGACAGACATAGAGGCAGAGAAAAGGGTAAGATGAGTACTGTCGAAGCGGTCGGTATGACAAGCAGTCGTGGCATGGTATTTTGAAGTCAGAAGCCAACTGCCGGTAAATAGACTATTTTGGCATATGAGTATACGTTGACCAGGATGCACCACGTGGAGGTAAGTCTATCGCACACTCCCAATTTGGTGAATAATATTATTTCAAATGTCAGACTTTATGATATTCATCATAAGCCCTTAAATTTTGACTTCAATTTCCCCAATGGTGGGGGGAACATATATAGCAGTTAATTAATAGCAGTTCATTAGCAGTCTTGCTTCCCAGTATCTCTGGCTTTCCATCATTGTCTTTAGAGCTGGACACCGAATCAGGTGGGTCTTCACCATTTCCTTATGTATGTTATATAGAAAGCATGTGGGTTGAGTGTATACTCCCAATCTGTGAAGGTGTTTTGCCAAGAAATCGTGTCCGGTAGGTAGTCTAAACTCAGCAACGGCTTCGATTCTTGGCCAGTCGGATATGTCGGAGAGTGCCACTGTCCACTGTTTCTCCTTTGTTCGAGCTTTGAGTTCGTTCAACCTTGAGGTCTGAAATTCTCTCCTGATTAAGGCCTTCATTGTGTGGAAGACATCGGCCGGTTCATGCATTGCAAAATCGTTGTCCACTTCTTAGCAAGTGTGTCAGCAATCTCATTGCCTTTAATGCCACAGTGACCAGGAATCCATTGTAGGATCACTGTTTTGTTTTCCTCTCTTAGCAGCTCATAGATTTTTTTCTACATTTCTTTATCTCAGCTGTTTTGGGTGTCTCCATGTTTCCAATAGAGTCTATTGCTAACTGTGAGTCCGAAAGTATCACCGCTTTGGTGAATTTCGTATCCAGGCAACATAATTGTCACGCTCTATCCTAATATTCGTATTTAGGCAACAGAATTGGCATAGTGCTATCCTAATGGCCTCTATTTCTCCTTCGGCATAGTGCTATCCTAATGGCCTCTATTTCTCCTTCAAACATGTGAGTGCTATCCTAATGGCCTCTATTTCTCCTTCGAAAGCGGATTTCTATTGTGTCCGCTGTTGCGTGAAAGAGAAGAGTTCAGAATAGACACCTGCACCAACGTTTGTCTGTTCTCAAAATGGCAAGGCTTTATGATATTTATCATTAGCCCTTAAACTTTGACTTCGGCTTCCCCCATGGGTGGGGGGTGCCTTAAACTTTGACTTCAGCTTCCCCCAAGGGTGGGGGGGTCTAAATCTTTGACTTCAGCTTCCCCCAAGAAGGGGGGGGGTACATTTTTTATTTCAAATGGCAGGCTTTGATATTTTTATCATTAGCGAAACTTTGACTTCAGCTTCCCCAAGGGTGGTGGGTACATTTATAGCAGTTAATTAATAGCAGACATTAGCAGTCTTCTTGCTTCCCAGTATCTTTGGCTTTCCTTTAGCTGTCTTCTTTCTTCCCAGTATCTTTGGCTTTCCGTCGTTGTCTTTATGCTGGATCCGAATCAGGTGGGTCTTCTCCATTTCCTCCTGCAGGTTAAATAGAGGGCATGTGGGTTGAGTATATACTCAAGTAGGTTACACAGAGGGCATGTGGGTTGAGTGTATACTCTCTATCTGTGAAGGTGTTTTGCCAGGCAATCGTGTCCAGTACGTAGTCTAAACTCAGCAACGGCTTCGATTCTTGGCCAAAGTCTAAACTCAGCAACGGCTTCGATTCTTGGCCATTCGGCTATGTGGTAGAGTGCCACTCCTAAACTCAGCAACGGCTTCGATTCTTGGCCATTACGTAGTCTAAACTCAGCAACAGATTCCATTCTTGGCCATGGGTATGTCGGAGATTGCCACTGTCCACTGTTTCTCCTTTGTCGAGCTTTGAGTTCGTTGAACCTTGAGGTCTGGAATTCTCTCTATGTGGAAAGACATCGGCCGGGCCATGCATTTCAAAATCGTTGTCCCCTTCTTACCAAGTGCGTCAGCAATCTCATTGCCTTTAATGCCACAGTGACAGGAATCCATTGTAGGACCACTGTTTTGTTTTTCTCTCTCGGCAGCTCATAGAGTTTTCTACATTCGTTTTTGTGAGTCTCTCTGTTTCCAATAGAGTCTATTGCTGACTGTGAGTCCGGAAGTATCACTGCTTTGGTGAATTTCGTATCCAGGCAACATAATTGTCACGCTCCATCTTAATGGCCTCTATTTCCTTATTGGCATAGTGCTATCCTAATGGCCTCTATTTCTCCTTCCAGCGGATCTATTATGTCCCGCTGCTGCGTAGAAAGAGAAGCGTTCAGAATAGATCACCTGCACCATGTTTGCTTGGTTTTCTATGTATGACCCATCAGTGAAGAGTGCACCAACGTTGGCTTGGTTTTCTGTCAGTGAAGACTTGGAGCCATTGATCTATGACATTGATTGTCTCAAGGGCTGTGATTTCCTGAAAAATGGCGCATTTGCTCTGGAGTCCTGAAGAAGTCGAGCAGTTGGGTGCACCACACTACATCAATGTCTGCTAATGGGTTCATGGGAAGAGGACACTACATCAATGTCTGCTAATGGGTTCATGGGGAGAGAAACTACGTCAGTGTCTGCTAATGGATTCATGGGGAGAGAGGCTTTTTGTTTTGTCACAGCAATGCAACATTATTGGCTGCGTAAACATCTTGTAAGTGATGTTGAGAGT